GGGGGGGTGGAGCCGTTAAGAGATGGCTGAGGTTCAAATTCGACCCGTGAGTCACGCAGCGCTGCTTAGTCCCAGCAGGGCTCGACTGTCTGAACCGATGCTCGTTTAACCCGGCGAGCCCACATTAACCTGTGTCTGGTTCACAGGTACGCAGACATGTTGACACCCTACATGAACTCGGTCCCCGCCATCATCGCCAAGGCCTCGGCCGTCCACAACCCCATCATCTACGCCATCACACACCCAAAGTACAGGTAAACCCCATCGCACAGGTAAACTGACTGCAGCCCCAATTCTATATAAATGTGCAGAGTTTAAGCTACATTTATTCATAATAAAACATAGAAAACATATCAGATGTTTAAACTAAGAAATGTTCAATTTTCAGAAAAATGTGACCTTCGATTTAGTGACACCTGATAGAAACATGTAGCAGCTAATCAGGTTGTTTGGCAGCAGGTCCATCACATGATCAGTTTCTAAAACAGGAAGTAAACCTACAAGCTGTGACTCAGTGTCACTGTGAACATCTCATCATCAGCAGACTCAGAGAATCAGACGAGGCTGATAACTGTGACCTTCAGGTGCTTTAAAAATCAGTGCACGGGCTGTGAGCAGTTCAGCGTGCCGTCCACACGTGCATCAGTCACTGTGGCACATCTGGACAGGCTCCATCAGTGCTGGAAGGTAGATGCTGGTTTTAGAGCCACATCCATCCATCAAGAAGGTCTTCATGTTTGAGCAGGACGAAGCTAAACCACAGACTGCATCTAATTCAGCAGCACAGCTTCGTAGGAGAAAACATCTGGAGCATCATGAGATCAACAACGGGACGAACCTACATCCTGACTTTAGTTAGCGAGCATTTGTTAGGTTGTGTCATAGATGTATTTGCTTTTTATTGTATTTCATTGGTTCTGGGCGGTATCCACGGTTTTAATAGTTTTGCAATTTTCATTAGTTTTTAATTTTATTTAGTTTTGACTTCAGATTTTCAATTTTATATCAGTTTTAATTAGTTTTTACCAATTGTTTGCTAGTTTAGTTTAGTTTTTATTTTTTTGAAAATCCTTAGTTTCAGTTTAGTTTTGATTAGTTTCAGTTATAGTTTTAATCGTGTTTGCAATAATTAAGTGTAACAAAATCCCAGTTTCATCATATCAGTCA